TGATTTTCATGACTGCATTTATGCTTTTGTAAGAGCCCCAAAGGTATTAAAAGGAAAATATGTTATATTTCCTACCGCATTATTTTGTTTAGTTCAAATACATCAAATAGATATAATCAACAGAGGCACTTTCAAACTTTTTCCTGCAACTCTTTCTACACATCAAGCAAACCTGCCTGGGGTCCCAACACCAAAGCTGTGAAAATCTGTTTACAAGTGTATGTGACTGAAACGCTGATCTAAATTCCAATCTACAACCACAAATCATAGATCACACATAGAAATTAGAATTTCTCTGCACCGAAGAGTTGCATGAATCTAAACTCTATGTAAATATGCAATTTTGATTTTTTTTTAGCTTTGATTTTATAGAATTGTATTACTGTCTGACGGTGTTTTACATATAATTTAACACACTTTCCAAGACTGTTTTCCAAAGTCGTTTAATAAATGGGGATCATTTTGTGGTAAGGATACACTGTTTTTTGAGTAAATCTCTTGAATTACTTGAATCAGAGTTGCCTTTTAGCGTCATGTGTTTGTATAAAAAGGCAATTAAAGGATATGTTTTGAAAAAAAACATCTCTTTCCCAATACTTCTTGTGTGATGAGCCTTTTGGTAGCAGTTTCACTGCTGTGTGTTCAGTATTTTATATACTCCGTCATGCTTTTTAGGTAATGTTACACTTTCTTGAACTCTTTGTTACACATGCGTCTACAGTGTCATCATGGCCCATCGTCACATAACAAGAAGGTTATCAAGGAGGAATAAGCCTAGTCGACAAACACCTTTGGCATACTCGTTAAAGTGCTGGTAGTCTACAGGCTAAGTTTAATAAAAAAGGCCTGTTTTGTGATAAACCAAGATTCATGTTATTTGGCAGTTTGATTTCTCCGTCATCCATTCAGCCACTCTGTTCCCACCAGTCATTACTTGTCGGAGAGACGGCCCGGATAAGAAAGAAAAAGTCCAGAAGTACGTCTCTCTTTCCCCCTCCTCTGCTCCCGCAGCTTTTTATGGTGAATTTGAGAGAAAACTAGAGAAGTGTCTCCCCCGTAGTGACTCCTCCGCACTCCCCTTCCATCCTCTCACATCCTTTCATTCATTTTTTTTTGGCTGTTTTGTCAAGGGTATGTTCACAGACAAACATGAATGTATGCAAATGCGTACAAACAAGGGGACAAATGAGCAAACCATGTCAGAGTCAGTGGTATACAGAACATAGGGTATGCTGAATTTTACATGCAGAGACGAAGAAGTCAAAAAACCTCTTGGTAAGAAACCACTGTAATTTCAGTTAAGGTTTTTGAAGGCTAAACGTGACGCCTTATTGAGGTGCAAACTTTGAACGGTTTTATTACTAAAAACTTCTTTTCAAGTTCAAATTAGATCTTTTCTTCAGTGCGCTTAATTTTCAAATATCTTGAAAGGACATAATTTTGTCTTAAAATTTGTGACTATATGACCACTACAAGCCCCCCTCCCCCAAGAAGGATTTTTAAGTTGAATTCAACAAACAAAACTCCCATGTTGGGTGAGCAAGAACAACGTAAAACGAGTCTCATTAAAACGCTATGTTAATTCACTTTCAATGTACATTTTTCCGGATTCTGACAAATTCAAGAGCAGCAAGAGAATCTCACTTCCCGCTGCCAGTTACCTGCATGTTGTTTGACTGCAAGTCTAAGGATAGAAAAATCAATCAGTCTTACTGGTTCTCGATTCGTACCCACAGAGACGGTGACTCAGATATCGGCATTAAGGATAATGTGTTTAATATTGTTGTCAGAGAATGTTTTGCAGCAGCTGTACCTCTTTGCATTCACCGTGGAACCTTCAGACTCCAGATATTTGAATGAAGTGTAAAGTGACGTAGCGAGGTTATCTGTACCAGCCTAAACTGACCTCAAATAACAAGATATATCAATAAAATATGCTGTCAAAAGTATCACATATGCTAATATTGAGGTTATTGTGTCAGACAGGTTGTGTAGTTACCACACTATTATCTATAATGCATGTTAATCCTGAGGTTTCCAACTATGAGAAGTAGTCACACTGTATAAGTGACCTCAGCATTAACATGATCACAGCAGCACAATCCACACACACACTTCAGCTCCTTTTCTCGCTCTCTCTGTGTCCACTGTCTGATGAAGTCACTTATTTGGATCATGAACAACAAGCAAATGTATTACCATTAAAGGAACTGTTAAAGGACTGTATTTGAAAGACGCTGATTTGATAGATTAACACATTTTGGATTTAAACAATTTATTTTATCCAAACAGGGATCCGTTTCACAAAAGCGTTTTTGCGAGCACTGCTTGCACCCAGGTCGCAAATGGCGGCAGCATCACATTGCGGTTGTCACTCACAAACTGCACACGAGTCCATCAGGGTCTTGCATGCTCGTGAATGTTGTGTCGCAAACATGGTGTTTGATTTGATGAGGGAAATGTGTCAGGAAGGTAATTATCTCATGTCGCAAGTCACGGCTCGCATGTTGCAAATTTGATGAAAGGGGCCCCAAGACCGAATGGGCGGCAATCCACTGGCAAGTTTAGTATCAACCCAACACAGGACAAAATCTTCGTAGCTCAATGGGAATGAATGTCAAATATTGGTTTTGGAGATCTGAACTGTTATCATAAAGATATTTATGTGCCTGAATGCAGTTTTACAAAAGATGCTTTTTTCCTATACAGTATTGTATTTTATATAATATACAGGCCTATTTTCCAGATTTAGAAAGTAATGAAGTACTTTAACTCGAATTATGTACGCACAATTGGAGGCAGTGACGCCTGCTTTGAGTATTTCTGTTTTGTGAGATTTTATACATTTACATTGTACATTTTATAATTGATCATATATGCAATTCACTATAATAATAGTGAATATAGTGTATAATGTACATATATACCGTTATTCCACATAATACATTTACTCCACATATTTACATTTTGCTGTTTTTTACTTACTTTTAACAACAATCATTTAATCTGATGACTCTGCAGGGCCGTAATCTTGCAGATTAAGATAAAATATGATTAGCATTGAATCGCATTGGTTTTCAACAACTAAAAACAATACTGAAAGGAGTTAGACCTAGCATCACCCATACTACCACCAAAATAAAAATATTGCCAATATTTTATTTAATTACTTTTGTTTTGTACTTTTTTTTTTTACAGCAAACATTTTTTCTTTAATGGTCAAATCTATTTTTACATTTCAATAACTTTTTCACCACAGATAACAAGCCTGTTAATATATTAGGGTGCTGGATGCTGATGTGTGTTTCACCTTCATTTAGTCCCTTTTATTTAAACTGCTGGATCATACCCTGTCTTGTGTGTGTGTGTGTGTGTGTGTGTGTGCGGTTATTGAAGTTGCTCACAGACTTGTGGACCTGTCAGCGGTCGTGTTTGAGGTTACGTGTGCATGAGTGGGTAGTGTTTTAAGGTTATATGACATAACAAAGTTAGAAAACGGTACATTGGCATGTTTAAGGCATGTGTGTGGATGTGTGTATGGTGGGTGGGTGAGTAGGTGGGGCTGCAGAGGGTTTAGAGGGTTCCCTGAACCTCATCGTTTGTTGCCGTCTTCCTTCCTGTTTCATTCTTTCTCACTTCCTGTCAGCTGACTCAGCCGGAGAATCTTGATCTGGTAAACATCTACGCTACCGCCTCTGCACACACACTCTCTCTCTCTCACACACAGACACACGCACACACACACACATACACTTACAAAATGTACTTTGTATCCACACAAAGATGTATGCACTTCCACACTCACAGAAGCACTAATGTACAGGCACATACATAAGTGAGTGAATTATTCACACATACTCACCTTATCATACAGCTAAAAAACTACCAAAGTAGTACTTTAAACATTCAGCTTATAGTTCGTATTAATGTAATTAAAGGTGTGAAAAGGACATTTATTTCAACTGTTTCTAACACTGAAGCCTTTGTACACATCCCTAAGTGTTTAGTAACTCAACCTCAGCGTTAATGTCTTAGAAAAAGAAAGAAACTACAGAACAAAAACTTCAGAAAAAGAAGAATAGTAGCCAAGAAAGGGGTTTTGACACTTGAAAAAGCATAGATGTTTACCAAAGACCAAAGAGGACACGAAAGACTGGCAAAAGCAGAGAAGATAACATTCAAGCAAATGACAGGAGAAGAAAGGCAGGACAAGAGAGAGACAGAGAAAACAAAGCTGGGCGCACGGTGAGAAAAAGAGACAGAGAGAGAGAGAACTATGGGGCAGAGAGACGGAAAGAGAGACAGAGAGATGGAGGAGGGGGGCAGAGAGATAAAGATAGCTGAAAGGAGGGAGATCCGTCAGCATTTGTTTCCTCAGGATGTGGTTACCACGACGACGAAAAGGCAGAGCCAACATCACTACCCGCTGGTCCCCTCTGACACCTGCAAGTGTGTGTGTGTGTGTGTGTGTGTGTGTGTGTGTGTGTGTGTGTGTGTGTGTGTGTGTGTGTGTGTGAGTGTGAAAGTCAGAGAGTGTGTGTGCCTATGTACGTGTGCTTCAGTGAGTAATTCAGTGAGTAAATGAGTCTGTGAGTGTGTGTGTGCATTAGTGTGAAAAAGACAGTATATGTGGTCTGTGTGTGTGGTGTGTGTCCATTTTGCTTTAGACTGTATGTGTGTGTGTGTGCTGTCAAAGGATACACAGCAGAGAGAGAGAGAGAGAGAGACAGAGAGAGAGAGAGACAGATAGGAAGGAGTATATGAGAGGTTGAAAATCTGAAGGGGGAAATAATTAGACCAACACTTGAGACAGTGGAGAGCGAAAGAGCACAAAAAAGTCAGAGAGAATGATGAAGAAAATCAGACGAACCGCCAGGAACCAAAAACATGCACAACAGAGGACGAACATATGTGAAAAGGAAATTAAGCGCCAAGGACTGGTAAAAAAAACAACAAAAAAACACCACTACGTATACAGTGCATTTGTCTCTTCATCTCATCTTCCTTCGTTCTTTCTCTTTCTGACTCACGCGCTGTCCTATTTAGAGCAGAGTGTGGTTTCAAGACAGAAAGAAAGAAAACCCAGCAAAGACTTAAATCTTTTGGTCTTCGTTGGTACAGGCATTTATGCAATGTAAACGTCTGATTACAGGTAATCTGTCGCTTGTTTTTGAGGACTAACTAAACGAAGTGGCATCGGTCGAGGAATCTTGTGTTAGCGTAAATGGAACAGGAATATGCATGCTAAAAACTGCTTACTGGAGCTTGGTTTGGAATTAAAAATACCTGCAGGGCTCCGTACAAACCAATTTGGAGATGTGACAACTCTTGCCTTCTCTTGTGAGTTGAATATGGACTATTTTGCCTAACACAATAACTACATCATACCTACAGTCATTAGAAAGTGGCGTTACAGATTTACATTACTCAGTTGGACAAAGAGCATCAAACAAATTGCATCAAAATCTTTAAGCCATCAGATTCTGCGACCTGATTAGGAGCTTCAGCTATATTACAACTGCAAATATTTTATAATATTTACTCTATTTTGAAAGAAGCTGTTGGCATAAATGGTGCTACTGTAATAATTAGATAGAAATTCATAGATACAGAGAGGGTCAAAACTGTTGGTAGCTTTGACAGCAGAAACTCTTGCCTTCTCTTGTGAGTTGAATATGGACTATTTTGCCTAACACAATAACTACATCATACCTACAGTCATTAGAAAGTGGCGTTACAGATTTACATTACCCAGTTGGACAAAGAGCATCAAACAAATTGCATCAAAATCTTTAAGCCATCAGATTCTGCGACCTGATTAGGAGCTTCAGCTATATTACAACTGCAAATATTTTATAATATTTACTCTATTTTGAAAGAAGCTGTTGGCATAAATGGTGCTACTGTAATAATTAGATAGAAATTCATAGATACAGAGAGGGTCAAAACTGTTGGTAGCTTTGACAGCAGAAACTCTTGTAATGTGAATTGGTACGTCATCTGTCAATATCTGGTGAAGACTCGTGTAGTTACCCTCTAGTGTCATAGAATCTCTTGGATCATAATGGTGACTGAAATCACAGCTATTAAAATTGGTAAAGCTAAATACAATGGAGGCACCATGTTTGGTAACAGTTAACAAAATAGAAGCCAAATGGTTAAGTTTTTGCAGTAGCAAACTTTCTAAACTAGCTAAAATTTCTAATTAGGTCATGGAATGTCGTGGGTCACAGAAATTTAATTTATACATGTGCTCTGTACTATTGAGTAGGCTAGGTACCAGCTAAACCACTGCTGCTAATGTTGTGACATGATTTAATTTATATTTACACCATGTTTATGTCTGTATCCTTGTAGGCACTCTAGCTACACCCACCGAGCCATCATGGACGACAGTACATCCACCCAATCCTTCCCCAACCACCACCACCATCGCCATAACACATCCTTTCACCTCACTTTGCCCAGCCTTCAAAGCCCCGAACTGGGATTCCCCTCCTCTCAGTCTGCCCTGGATCCTCTGGAGCAATATGGAAGTAGAGGGGAAGAATCCACAACCTCCTTCCCAAATTCAAGCATCTCTTCTGGGGGAAGGGGGGGGAGCAGTGGGGGTGACAGAGGCTTGCTAAACACAATTGGTAGCGTTTTGGACAGAGACGCTAACTTGGGAGGCCAGCTTGATGGAGAAAGTGAGTTGGGGAGCCATTTTGTTGACACTTGGTATGGTGGCAGCAAAAAAGAGGACACTTGGGAGGATGGGGAGAGTTGTGAAAGCCCTGCAGACAATTTTTATAATAAAGGTGATTGCTACAGTAACCCTAATGATGTTTTTTACATTATGAATTGTGGCAGTGAGGAAGGACTCAGGCGTAAACTCAGAGCAAACTATAATAATTATGCAAATGTTAGCTGTGAAGCTAAAAACGAAACCGTTTACAATAGGGAGGCTAATGTTAGCCACTTTACTAAGCAAAGTACTTCCTACAACAGAAGTGTGGCAGGAAGCTTTAGCGACAGCAGTATAGAATATTGTAGGACCGATTCAAGAGTGAGTGACAATTATTTAGGAAGAGAAGAAGATTATGGATCCAGCTGTGGCTCAGGTGAGGATCAGCTTCAATCAGCAGAGGCTGAAGGACCCTGGCTCAACATCTCTCCCTCGAGTCAGACAGGAGAGGGCAGGTGGAGAGGAACAGCAGACACCCACGCTTTGGCCTCAGGGTTCCTATCGCAGCGATCGGCTCTCAGCATCAGCAGCGGGAAGTACACTCAGAAACTGGACTCCTTCTCTGAGGCTTTCCTCTCCCAGCGAAAGAGAAGAATCCCTGTGATTTCCAGTGGGGATTCCTCTGGACAGATCTGGGAATTTGGGGGAGGGAGAGGAGGAAGCCCTGGATTGATCAAGTCGAGGCACAGCTGTGCTTTTGATTCAGACTCCTACCTGCCTCCCTCCTCCTCTTCTTCACCTGCTCACCCCTCTCTCCCATCTTTCCCCTCTCCTCCCACATCGTCCCACCTCATGTCTTCAGTTCTTAGTCCTCCGCCCACACCTCTACCAGCTCCTTCCCACTCACCCTCCAAAATGGACTCTCCCATTGCATTTGGGGGCACAGGACATTCAGTGTCCCAGGGGGGAGAGTCACCTGGCACGCTCCAGTTTTTTGCTTCCCGCCTTCAGTCTCTCCCACCCGTCCATTCCTCTGGGATGATATGGAAGTTTCCACTGCTGTCACACTGTTTTCCACAGTCATCAGGCGATCCCAGCAGCAATGAGGGCAACCTGACATCTTCTCATGGTAGCGACTATGGCAACGTCACAGGTAAGGGATTGTGTGTGCATTTTTCTGAATGAAAGTCCAATAGTAAGAAAAGAAATTTAAATAATGGATAAAAGTTCATCCAGAGTCTGTCATAACAGTTCTGAGAAAGAAAAACAGAACTGTATAAAAAAGACTAGACTACTAAACATGAAATAATTTAAATTCTCTTTATTTCCCTCCTTACCAAAAATAAACCACAGGTTAATACCCACATGCAAATTTACGGGACATGTGGGTTTTTGTTGGTGAGCTTTTGAAATTTCCAACTTCCTGTATGCAAATTACATTTTCACTTTTCACATTTTCAGTTATGAAACCATTTGTAACATCTTGTGACATCTTTTGTACTCACACCACAGGAAAAATGACACGTTCACCTAGAACAATTGAATTCATATGTGGGTTGTCACAATAATTAGTTATAATCCAAATAACAAACAGATACTGACAACATCATGACAACATCATGACAATACCATGACAATACCATGACAATACCATGACTTTCCCCTCTTTTCTGATGTTCGTGTCCTGACCCCTCGCATTTTTCCAGCCTCACACGACGTCCTTCAGTCTCCAGAGTTGCCATTCCTCATGTCCTCTTCCCACCGCTCATCCCTCCACCCACCGAGAGCTCTCTGTTCCTCCAATGCTACGTCCCCACATACCTCCTTCCATCTTCCTACTCCTACTCACCTTCCCAGCCAAAATTTTGAGGCAGCAGAAAAGATAGCCCCTTTCATGGTGACGCAGAAAGTGAAGAATGGACCGGCCAACCTGAACCAATCACAGCTACAGGTACAGTATGGCAACTCTGCTATTTTTGAGCACAGGGTACAATTTTAAAGAAGCAAATTTAAGCAGTTTTGTGTACATTCAAGAGAAGAAAATATTCCGTTGATGCATATCCTCTAGCTGGCTTAATATAATTTTAGCCACACAAAATTATGTTACTTGGCTTTATTACCAAATAACTACTTGGTGTTTAGTGATAATTTGCAAATGTTAGCATGCTGACATGCAAAACTAAGATGGTGAACATGGAAAACATACGTAAAATCAGCGTGTTAGCATTGTCATTTTGAGGACGTTAGCATGCTGACTGTAGCGTTTAGCTCAAAGCACCACTCCCAGACCAGCTATCCTGAAGGCAAGCAACATAGAAAAGAGGGATCCCAGAAAGTAGAACAAAAATCTTCAGGTAGCTAAATACTAAACCATTGCATATATTTTTCTTTGAATTTCCCCCTCATTTGTTTTTCAAGTTTAAGTTTTTCACATTACTGACCAGTACCGCTTTACCTTGGATCCCACAATGCCTTTTTTCATGTCCCACGGAAAATGAATGGGGTTGAACAATGCTTTGCTTTGCACCATGTTCAATGGGTCTGTACTGTTTTCTCTTTATTAGTCAGGAGGGACAATTCTGTTAACTGTTTGAATCACACTCGTTTTTTTCCCGCTAAATTTTCAAAAAGTCTGCTTCTGATTGGCGAGTATTTGTTGCCTCTGTTGGTTAAAGTTAGGGGTTAGGGTTAGCCAATCAGAGCAGAGCCCTGATGCAAAGCTAGAGTCCATGAAGTGAGAGTTCAAAATGAAAAATTTTGCAGGAAGAATTCATAACTCGCTTTTTTTGTAAAATAAATAAATAAACATTGTGACTGCGTATTAATCAGACAAGGACAGGATTAACAAAATAAATGTTTTTTTCCCTGTGAACAGCAACAAGACTCCCCGATCTACACTGGAACTCCATTTCCCAGTATCCTTCACTCAAGCAGGGGTCAAAAGAGGGGCCGCTACACTCCTCGACCCCTCCTCAATCCTGTACGCAGGGGGAATGGGCTGTACTCCTCCCTTCTGTCTCTCCATCAGGAGGAAACAACATGTAGAGAAGAGGAAGAAGAGTGCGGTGTGTTACCGTAAGTAAAATGCTGAAGAAACTTATGCTTTGGGATTCGTTAGTCTATGACCTTTTCAGTTGCATGATGTCTCAAAATAAAGTAAGTCTTCTTCTTCCTAAATCATGGTGAAGAGTTTGGCCATGGCACGAGTGAACGAGTGATTTGTTTTTTGTTGTAGATCTAGATTCATGTGCAGGTCCAAGACTGTTTATGAAAACATTTCTCACTGCAAGACAGGACACTGAATGAAAAGAAAATCTTTTTACTTGAGATGTCTTTAAAGTGAGGACATGACAGTAATGTCTCCAACTAAAATATGTACATATATTTTAGGATGTGGTGCATCTCTGGGAATGATTAATCAATTTGGATCTAAAATAAACTGTTTTCAAAATATGGCTTTCCAAAAAAAAGTGGACTCTTGGCTCAACTTGCCCCATATGAGAGGATAAGTTGAGCCACATAGGGGTCAGGACATCAATGTAATTTCATCATGCAAACTCAAACGCCAGGTCCCAACATTCAGTTGGACTTCGCTATGTCTGCTTGTTGTTTCATATCAATGTATTGCTTTACAGTCATCCTGTTTATCATCATGTCCCGTGCCACCTGATGAATTGACTTCCCATTTTTGTACCTCTCCCACTGCTCTGTCCAAACCCACAATAGGAGTTAAAGCCTGGTGGTTTCTGGTCTAAAATGTCACATCATTTCGGTGATGCATAAGAATGAAATGTAAAATTACAGTAAAATAGCTGGCTCAATTTCCCCCAGATCCTTTGGCTCAAATTACCCCATCCCTGCCATTTTAACAAAATTGTGTCATCCCACAGTTTAAGGGTAACTTCATGCTAACAGTATAGCCTCATATTGTAACTTCCTAAAGCATTAACACATGTATAAGATTTTGTCAAACCTGTCTACAATAGTTCAGCCAGATCAACAGTTCTATCTTAAATGTGCTCTCCCCTACACATACAGATTAAACAGATCTGTAATTAAAAATGCGCATTTAAAAGAAAATGCAGGCTTAGAGAGGGTATTATTACTTACGTTCTCCTTTTCACTTCACTTCTTTCCTTCTCTACAGGCATATCAACTTAGGTCATGATTTCCAGGCACAGCTTCCCTCGTGCTTTGTGGACAGCAAGGGTTCAGGGTTATGGTCACCAGAGCAGGAATCCCCTAGAGAACAGCTGCTGTGGAAACCGTGGGACAGTCTTGAGGAGAGCACCAACTTACAAGACCATGGTAAAGGACATACCAACATGCCACAGCTTTTCAACTCAAACTTATTTTTTTAGACCTGCTTGGAGTAATAATTACACAGAAAAGGATAGTAAATTCTCAATTCTTCAAAATTACAAGCAACCGATAAGTTCAGTGGTCAAAGTTACAGTGAACAGATGGAAGATAAATCAGATATTTTAAAATGAGCTGTATGCTTGACATAGACCCATTCAATTCACAGTGCTAACTGCTGAAATCTTTTGTGTGTATGCGCAGTGGAAAAGCTGTTGTCCATGTGTAGTTCCAGCTGCATACCAGGAGGGGGCAGTAACACAGAGCTGGCTCTGCACTGTCTGCACTACTGTCAGGGGAACGCAATGGTAAGCAGTGAAGAGGAGTACTAATACTGTCTTTCTTAATAATAATAATAATTATTATTATTATAATAATTATAATTATAATTATAATTTGCTTATTCCTCATTCATTCATTTATTATGCACTCATTCCATCATTTTCATCCACCCATCGTGACTTCCTTCCATGCATCTTTCCCCACCCACTCATTCCTTGTCATTTCTTTTTCTTTCTTTCTTACTTTTCTTTCTCACTCATTCATATCCAGTGAATTCTCTTCTGAACCATTGCATGCCTCATCTGTCTTTTCTCTGCATCCTACACCCCTCTCTTCTGTGCAGGCTTCGCTGGAGATGCTGTTGTTCTCACAGCCTTCACCAACAGGAGACTACCACTACTCTGGTAACCTTTGCCCACACACAACTTGTGGGTTTCCTACGTCTGTTAAGGGATAATTCCAAAATGATCACCCGATGTTCAGATAACTCTTTGGCTTGGTTACGGATATTTAACATGAGCTGACTCTAACCCTGTCATGTTTTTGAAGTGAATTCAAATCAAAGTTGTCAACTTTTAGCAGGGTGACGTGGTGAAGTAAAATAAACTAAAATGTGCTGCAGTGAAGGAAGTTCAGTGTTTCTCAACAACAGTCAAAATGTTAGACAGCAAAGGAGTAACCATTCCCACTGAACGTACAATGGTAGCCTTTGTTGAAGCCCAAACTCCACGCAGTTCTCTCTCTCTCTCTCTCTCTCTCTCTCTCTCTCTCTCCTCTCTCTCTCTCTCTCTCTCTCTCTCTCTCTGGTTCATTTAAATCCACCAAGAACCACATAAAGTACAGAGTAAACATTGTTCTGCACAGTAGTGTCCACTTAGCTGCCCCCCTGACAACAGCTTAACAACATTTAGATGTCTAAAATGTCTAAAAACCCACCCTCCAGCTATTAAACATGGTACACATGGTACACGCAAGTTTTATTGTTAAAGCTGATGGTCATTACAATCCACAGTGACAGGCAGATTCATCATCCGCCACTGGTTTTGTCAGTTATTTTCTAGAGAGTTCCTGCAGGACTTTTCCCAACAGTGGATGCATTACTTGCAGCACTCTGCAGGATGACCAGTTGGTATTTGTTTTTTAATTGTTTCCCATGTCCTGTTTGCCCCTCACCCTCCTCTCTCTCGCTGTAGGTAGTGACTTTTGGACCAACAGTGAAAAGAGTCTCTTCACTGCAGCCCTGGGAACTTATGGAAAAGAATTTTCACTCATACAGAAAATGGTAGAAGCCTTACTCATGCATTGCTAATTATATGAGCCGCATTCTTTCAGTGGTTACCTTCACAGTGTGTTCCCTTTCTGCAGCTATTAAAATGACTGCATGTTGCAACTTGATCCACAAAATAAGCACTGAATAAAAAGCTGGAGCTCAGTTGTCACTGAATGTATCAGCTTGATTATGTTTTCTGAGATATGTTGAATGTATTTGGAACCAAGCTCAGGTAGCCATGGAAAAGGTCATTTTTGACTGCTAGGTATTCATTATGTGTGTGTTTGCATGTGTATGCTGCAGGTTAGGACTAAGACCGTGGGCCAGTGTGTTGAATTTTACTACCTGAGCAAGAGGCTCCTGGACAAGCAGAAGAAACAGGAGGAGGAGAACAGAAACGGGGAGATGGAGCAGCAGAAAACTGTAAGAAATACCTTAAAAAGAAGCAGTTGCGGATTTAGTGTTAAAATCTTTTTGTGTCTTGTCAAGATTTCCCAGCTGACCCAGGGACTCTGGTACTCGGCAGATGTTTCTTTTAGATTGCATTTTAATATCAGCCTGTTGCTTTTGTTCTCATGCTCTTCCTGTATTTCTCTCTTTTCCTGTTGTTGTTATCCTGTGATTTGTCATCTGTTCCCATGATGCATTTTGATCCCTGATGGACAGGACTCAGAGAATAGAAACAAATGTAATAGAAAAGTGTGCTTGGCGTGAGAAACAATATGGAGTATTTAGGTAGTTTTGTTCAAGTGGTTATCCAGTGTGGAATGCAGCTAAACAAGTTAATCGCACCAAAGTAGCTTACAATTGGTCCTGTTTTCCCAGATAACGCCCATCAGTCAGCCAGTGGACAGACAGTTTGGACTGGAGGAGGTGGTTCCCGTGCCCTCATTGGCCAGCTTCTTCCCCTGCAAGCTGTGTGGCAAGTGAGTAGAACCAGTCATAACGGAGAGAGCTTCAACACAAACCGTCTCAGTGTTTGGCTTCAGGGCGAGCCAACAGATGGTTTCTATTTTTAAAGTCTTCTTTTTTAACCATGTCTTTCTGTTTCCTTGCTCCAGAATGTTCTATAAAATCAAGTCCCGTAATGCTCACATGAAGATCCATCGCCAGCCTCAGGAGGATTGGACCGACAGGCGGCTGCTACTCACCCAGCGTCTGGCTTTCAGTCGTCCCAACACCTTTATCCCCAGCCCGGGCAGTAATCTGCTCCCGTCCCAGACCTTTTCCCCTTCTGGCCTCCCTGGAACGCCAAGCAACAACAGCAACGCAGACAATGTCCTCAACTCTGTAACCAATAGCAACGCCATTGCTCCCAGCAATGCCAGTGTCTCACATCCCAGCACTGTGGTAACATATGGCAACATCACTGCTTCAAACTCTCATGTAATCACTAATATTGATGGCGGTGAGTTAAATCAAAGAGAGCCCACCACTGTTATGTCTTTCCACCAGTCATGGGGCTCATTTGGACATGGCCCAGACCCCACTACCTTCTACTGCAACACAGAAGGGAAAGACGATGTAGGAGCTGGGACAGTGGAGGGAAAAGAGCCAATCAACTGGCAGTAGTGTTCAGCTGTCCCGAAAGCATTAGAAGAACTGAGGACTCATCCAAACTGTGTTTTTTTTTTTTTTTTTAAATCAAACTAACTTTTAATTCCAACTCCAATTTTTCGAACATATTTTAAGAAAACATGATCACTTTTGTATGCTTTTGTTGTAAATTGTGTAATTAAATGTGTTACATATTTAAATGTTTATTTACTTGACATTTGAATAAAATTTACAACCTTACTGCTGTTTTTTTTTCATGTTTATGACTTCAGTAAAACCACTTGTCGCATTTACAAGGATTAAACAAACAAGATATCACATGTTAGTGTGTGAGTTTTAGAGATGCTGCAAGGCTGTTTTTTTTCTTTGGAGAGACCCAGGCCAGTTTTTTTCCCTGTTTCCAAACTTTGTGGTAAGCTAAGCTAGTTTCATGTCTAACAGACAGACGCGAGAGTAGTATCGATCTTCTCATCTAATTTTCCAAATTGTCCTCAGTTTCCAAACATTTCTCCTTCTTAAAGTCTAAATAGAAATTGGTCCTCACAAAGCAAATAAGCACACACATCCCCACAGACAGGCACACACACACAGCATGTTGAAAGGTTTCGATATCACACGATAATGGGCTAATATTGACCTTGGTAGACCATCTCCTCTCACTATCTCACTCACAGCTGTCTGGTACTTGTGTGCCCAGAATTGACCTGTTGATGGTTAACTACAGTGAATGTGTGTGTGTGTGTGTGTGTGTGTGTGTGCGAGAGAAACATTGAAAAGCAATACATAAACAGCATCCTGTTCTTCATTGTTTAGCTAATGAAATTTCCAGTAGCTACAAGATGATTTTCATACTATTTTTCCTCTCTTCTATGTGCTCATGTTACATACTTATCTGCAGGTGCATTTCTCAAGGCGGTCAGTATTCTTTGGTCTTATCTCTTCCTGATTGTTACTGCCACTCTGATAGTGATAACAGAGTTTATATGCGTGTGTATGTCTGTTGGTTCATGTATTATATATACAGTATAATATGCCGTGTGTCCTTCTAGGTATCCTTGCTGAAGAAAACTTAAGTGAAGGTCCTCCAGCGTATGAGTATGTATGTATGTATGTATGTGTATGCCTGTGTCCATAATAAACACTCCCTCCCTCCTGACTAAAGTCCACCATGTCCAGCACACTTCATCTCCCACTTCTGTGATACAGAGTATGAGCTGTTTCTAGTTAACACATGTGCTCAAGTAGTATCAGATTTGTCCTCTTTTCTTTACATATCCTCCCCCCCAAATAGCTTTAACTTCCCAGAGCTATGACAAGCATTTTGTTTTCGGACTCTAGAGAGAGAGAGAGAGAGAGAGAACAAGCACGTAGATAAGGGGGGGGGGGTAGACCAGACCAATGGGGCGACGGAAAGGGGGGAAAAAGAAGAGAATAAACAGAGAACTTACTGAGCAATGGCCATTCACCTATTCATGGCGAGCAGCTCTTTGCCAGTTGACTGAGTCCATGCCCCCACCATGGCCCATCCCTGCTTTCTCTCATTTGCTGCTATTTTCTTTTTCCGAGGCCAGAGTGGTAGAAATAAACAAAAGCAGCCTTTTCAGTCATTTGACAAGGGTATAATGCTCAAGAATGCATGGCAAAATACAACATAATATATCTTTTCCAGTTGGATTTTATGGCTGTTTGTATGTCCTGTAAACATATCCTCATGGTTAAAATATTTACGTAGTTACATTAAAGAGTAATAACATACTTAATCAAATAATATAATCAAAACTGTTGGAGCAAGTCATTATCTGATTGTTCGAAAAGTCTACAATCCTTTATGTATATAGGTTTTAATCGAAGCTACAGCTATTCTCATCCAATATATTATCCAGGAAACTCATGTAATACCAGACAGCATGGACAAAAGCAGGAATGTCTTCTTTTGTGGCACTTTAATGCACACAAAACAGGCTGGCAACACGCTTATGTCTTTATCTCACTGAGAGGTAGTACCATGTAGAGACTGCCCAAGGTGTAAACTAGCTGTCATTTAGAGAAATGAGAAAATAGTATTGCTGAACTTGATGAAATGGAAGAGAGTGACTGTGACACCTGACATAATGATTCAGTCCCTTTTTACTTTCATAGGATAGAACTAGTTAAAGCAAAAAGTATGTCTTCGTCATCTTAAATTGTGCAAGCTTGCTTTTCCTTTCTTGGACAAGTGAGTTTCGATTAAATCTTAAGGTTTTATCACTTTTGAGATACTGTACACGAAGGCCGACTGCTGTCATTGACACAGTTGGAGGTTGGGCCCTGTTATGCAATAGTTGACACAGCCCTTAGATGGTTGTTATGGGAAAAACTGAAAAAAGTTTAATCCCTCTGCTGCTAAATACTTGATATTAGTAGCTGGGCTCACTGAAAGCATAAGTAGACTGATAAAATCCGCAGTAGCCTCTATGGAGGTGTTCTCAGCTGACTTTTTGACATACCAGATCAGGCACCACTAAACATTTCATCATTGTGTTTTAGATAGTGACTTGTTTAAATCACAGTAAACGTGGTGTCTTTTTCATTCAGATAACAGGTAGCAAAATTAAATTAGCATGCCAGAAATCAGTGTCACTAAACACACTTTCTGTCAGATTTAGTCAAGCACAGAGTACACAAGAGATAGGAACCAAAATGCAGACACCAAGGCAGAGTCTTTAAAAGGTACACCGGCTTACGCTTCAGCGTGAAGGCAGGTACAGGTCAGAACAGGAAGGCAGCAAAATACAACATTAATCCACAAGAAGGCAAAATCCAAAATGGCATAGGAGACAGACAGGTATACGTGACAAAGAAGGACGATGAACTAACAACTGAACAACTGGGAGATAAAGACTTATACACAACAAACAGGGCAGGATGATTGGACACAGGGGAGACACATCAGGGCAGGTGCAAACAATCAAACAAAAAAACACAAAGATGGGAAGTAAAAGTCAAACAAGGAACACCAGGAAGGTGTTCAAAATAAAACAGAAACTAACAAAACTCAAAAACCCAAAACCACAACAATCTCTAACATTTCTCTTACATAAACAAAATGACAACAGAATTAATGTTAAGAGTAGCGCTGCAACAATTACTGGATTATTTGTCAACCATTACAATAATTGCCAACTGTGTTAATAGCTGAGTTCCACCTTGACTGCTCATAACATTTTAGATAAATTCCGATCTGGTTTCCGTCAGAAGCCTTCCACCAAAACAGCTCTTCTCAGGGTCTTCACTAACATAATGTTGTCTTCTTATGCTGAATGTGTCAGGGTTTGCTGAGTGAGTGCAGCAGGAGTGAGCCCAAATGCAAGACACTTTGAGCTGAGATTGAGTTCCAGGGTTTATTTATCCCAAGCAGGACAAACAGGCATGAACAGAACTCACGAGTACAGGAACTGGTACATCCAAATGGTAGCGACGGGACGGGACGGGACAGGACGGGACAGGACGGGACGGGACGGGACGGGACAGGACTGACATGCGACAATGACCGGACAGGGAATGAACAGAAACACCAGACATTTATACACAGTGACTAACGAGCAGGGCGTGAGCAACACAGGTGACTGGGGGGATCAGGGTTAACGAGGCAGAGAGACTGAAGGGAAAACAGAGACTAGCAGGCAGGCAGATTACTGACAAAACACAAGTTACTCAACACTAAACATCAGAGTAATATAAACAAGCGGACAGATCACAAATGAACTAACACCAACAAGGAACACAGACAGAAGCTAAGGTAAAACAGAACTCAGACATGGGCAAAACACAGAAGTACACCGACCAGGAGTGAACACAAAGACAAGAACTAAGGTACAGGACTAAGAACTAAGATACGAGGCAAGACAGATACTAAATAAGATGTGGATGAATAATAAAGGCTAAACAGAGACTAGAGCTGAATGAACAAAATCAGATTACTGAAACTGGCAGAGAACATAAATGACACCTAACCAACAGACGGAACCCAAGCATGGTGGTGGGAAACTAACACATGAGGGACAGGAACAGAACTAAAGTACTAAGGCAGACAACGAGATAACAGGACAGATCAGAACCACCACACAAAATAAGTAGAAGACTGGATACAAGACCACAGACAGACAGGACTGAAACCCAGACACAGAGAAACCAAAATCAAAACACCGAGAAGGCATGGCCAAAGTAATATAACACAGACAAGCTCAGGGCAGGATCGTGACAGAATGCTCTGGTTATGTGCTGCTAGATCTTAGTGCAGCTTTTGACACTGTAGATCACACCATCCTGACTAAAAGGCTTAACCAGTTGGTGGGTGTCTCTGGGAGACTTAGGTCACATCATTAGAAAATTGAAAGGTTTCACTTAACGTTGACGATATCCTGCTGTATTTCTGCTTTAATACTGATGAGACTGACCCGCTGACTGCACAGAACAACAGCCTGACTGTCAACAACTTTTTACAGCTTAACACAGGCAAGACTGAGGTGCCTATTGTTGCTTCTGACAGCATAGCTCCCATGATCGCTCAGCGCATTGAGTCCCTTTCTTCAGCTGTACAGTCAAACAAACCTCACAGATCTTGCTATAATACTTGTACTTTGAGCAACAAATCATTGTCCTGTTAATGTAACATTGCAAGACTCAGACCAGAACTAGAGATAATCATTCATGTATTTATTTCATCCCGATTAAACTACTTTAACTCCCTCTTCACTTTCCTCAACAAGTCATCTCTGAACCGTCTACAAATGGTCCAGAATGCTGCTGCAAGGCTGTTGACCAGGTCTAACAAATTAAATCACACAACACATGGGGGCGGCTGTGGCTCAGGAGGTAGAGCGGGTTGGCCGTTAATCGGAAGGTCGGAAGGTCAATCCCTGGCTGCATGTCGAGGTGTCCTTGGGCAAGATACCCCGAATTGCCCCTGGCAGCTGTTCCGCCAGTGTATGAATGTGTGTGAATGTTAGTTTCGGTTTGAGCACTTAGGCTCAGTGTATGACTGGTGAATGCAGATGTAGTGTAAAAGCGCTTTAAGTGGTCGAAAAGACTAGAAAGGCGCTATACAAATACGGAGCATTTACATTTACACCCATCCTGTCATTGTTGCATTGGCTCCCTGTCAGGTTCAGGATTCAGTTTAAAGTGCTCATTTTCACATATAGAGCCCTGCATGGTCAGGCACCTGGGTACATCTGCTCTCTGTTGATAGCTTAAAAAAA